TCATATTACACAGATCTGTTCGACATCCTGATATAATTTAAAAGGGGTATATGTACTTAAGTTTTATTTGACTTTGAAGAAGATCAGTTGATTTTTTTAAATTTATGCCAGCAATTGAAGTTGAGGAATGTAAACAAGATGGCCGCCAAAATAGTTAGGTAAACTTTTGTACAGTCTATATTTCTTCATCAAATAACCTGGATCTCTTCCATATCCTGGAATAGTTTGGGGGGATATATTTTGCTGTGTTTCATTTCATTTTAAACAAGATTAGTTGATTTTTTTGAATTTATGCCAGCACTTAAAGTTCACACACTGTAAACAAAATGGCTGACTAAATTTTAGGTAAGTTCGACAGTCTATATTTCTAAATAGGAAGTTGGCATCTCCTTAATATTCCAGAATGTGTTGGAGTGATGTATGAAGTCATGTTTGATTTCAGTTTGCAGAACATCAGTTGAATTTTTATAATTTATGCCTGTGCTTGAAGTTTCACATGGTGTAAACAAAATGGCTGCCCCAATTTGAAGCAACTTTGACAGTCTCTATTTCTGGATCAAAAGTCCTGATTTCTTTCAAATTCCGGAATATGTTGGTTTGATATATGTATTGAAGTTTTATCCTACTTTCAAAAAGATCGTGTCATATTTTTGAATTTATGCCAGCGCTTGAACCAAACACACTTTGTTCAGTGGGTGGGAGGGGGGCAAATACATTGTGGATTCAATTTCTCGACATCGGTTCCACTGATTATTTTCAGGTTTTCAGTGTTAAAAGGGCCCATATAGTAGTAATTAAATCAGTACTTTAAATGCGATTTCGAACTTCCATACTATCACAGATCAAATTTTAATGTCATCAGGGGGCACAAACTGCAGTTTCCCAGGACGAAAGGTTCAGAAACAGGGCAATCGGCTCTTCTATAAGTACAAGTCACATAAAAGATGAAGCACCAATGTATCCTACGTCTATGCGTACCTGGTATGTAGTCTTACGTGGTCATCCTGGTGAACTGTGATCTGTTTTCCAACATGTACTCCATGAGCCGCCATCTTGCTTGGCGGCCATTTTGTAACAAGCCTAAATTCCCATAAAGCATTGAGTCACCCCACCCCTTCCCACCCTGGTAATACATTTGCTATAACACAGCCAAAAAACTCAAATAAAACCATTCTAAAAGCCTGTATCATAAAAATTTAAAAAACGCCTAGGGATATTTGCCCACTGTACCTCCATACCAAATTTCAGGACCTTAGGCCCTAAAATGAAGAAGCTGAATCCATTTAAAAAATGGCAGGAGAAGAAGAAGAAGGAGAAGAAACATCAGAAAAAGCAATATGGGTTCACCACCACTTCGTGGTGTGGTGAACCCATAATTATTATGTATGGCAACATCGCAAGTGAAATAAATAGCACACATACAGTTGTAGTAAAAGTGGAAGTATAGAATCCGGATAGTAATAATTGAAGAACAAATCTGCATGGTAACAATTGTCAAATAGATTACTGCATAATAACACTACATGTAAAATAAGTGATAGTGAAGGGTTTTTAATGATGCATTTAATTTAATTATTTGCTTCTATAAGTTGTAGTAGACCATACAAAAGTCCCTGTACTTTTGTCAATAAAGAACCATAACTTGAGTCCCAAACAAAGAGACTACTTTTTATGTCCAGAAGGAATCTGAACAAATTAAAGGGAGATGACTACAAATATACTGCTATATATAGACAATTTTTCAAATTTCATATTCTTCAACTTTCAGGACTGAAATTTACACTGCAAGTGATACAGTCCATGATGCTTTACACATTTTTGGATAACGATGAGTGGTTTAAAAGTTGTCTTTCAAGCTACATGTAGCCAACTGCAGTGCTCACATTCAGGAAAATGTACAACCAACAGCATGACTTGTCACTGCTACAACAAAATAATGTGATGATACATGATAGTATGTAAGTCACTTGGGCAACGTCAACATACCATCACAGCAAAATCCGTCTAATGTGTCAAATATTTATAAACCCACTAGTTTTGCCTTAGTTTACAAAATTTGTAAACTAAGGCAAAACTATGAGTTTATAAATATTTGACACATTAGACGGATTTTGCTCTGATGGTATGTTGACGTTGCTTACTACTCTAAGAGTCTAATATACAATCATTCTCATCAGGCAAAACTTGTGGCGTCGTGTGGTGTAGTGGTACATCACTGGACTATGAAACGGGGAGACCCGGGTTCGATTCCGGGTCGTACCCGAACAAGTCCGAACATGCGCCCCGACGTTGTACCCTTGGAAAGGTACTTTACACGAATTTCCTCACTTCACTCAGGTGAAAATGAGTACCTAGCTTTGGTTAGGGACGTCCCTCGGATAGGACGTTAAATGGAGGTCCCGTGTTTGGGAGAGCCACACCCCACGCACGTTAAAGAACCCACCGCACTTATCGAAAAGAGTAGGGGACCTTCCCGGTGTGAGTGGTTCAAACCTTACAGTCTTGTCTCGGGGTTGGCATCTTTGAAAAGGTGATACTCACCTGTTATGTCAATCCTTCCACAAATGTGGCAAATCTTCATAAATAAATAAATAAATATTCTCTATTGTGTACAATTCGTTCTTTCGAATTTCGTTCTTTTGTTCTTTCCTAGAGCGATTAAGTTGTACAAGTACAAAATGTATAAGAACTGAACTCTGTTCATCACGAGTGTTTTGTATTTTTTACTGGTTTTTAATTATGCTACTTTTAATCGTTGTCTTCATGTTGAGAGCTTTTACTGTAATTGTCAACGAATTTCATGTCACATTTTCTGTGAATCTGTGTACATGCCAGTTGATTTAAATAAAATTGAACTTGAACTTAAATTATTACCGTGATTTTCTAATTTGAGTAAATATATGTACATGTATGTAGATTGCATAGTACAAAATTATTACATAGTATTTTACTAGAGTTGAGACAAAGGCAGTACATTTAACAGAAACGTTCGATAGTTCTTGCTTGTACATGAAAACCTGTCGAATTTCAGAGCTTTCATGTGTCACTAAAGAAACTTTTTAAGGTAGTGGATGCTACTCGAAACGTCTTACCATTTTCAAAATTACCCATGCAGTTGCTTGAGTTACTGTTTTTTTTTGTATTTCATTACCTAAATGTCTAACCCTCAAAGACATTCAAACATAGACTTGACAAGCATGTGAAATACCATCCAGTAGTATACAACTACACGGCACTGGGTCCACACAAGCCAGGAATAACAGTTGAAAAAACAGATGAGCTGCCTCAACTGGAATCTTACTACCAGTGGCTTAAAGAACAATGTACTCTACTTTACTTAACACATTTTATATAATAAATATTATGTAGTATTACATTTATGAGTGTATGGAATGTATTGAAGTAGATACATGTACATGTATGCAGGGCTCGAAATACTTTTTGAGAGTGCGGCTATTTCGATAACTACACTGCACTTTAGAAAAGACAAATTACATACAAATATCAAAATACATTATATTACATTTTGTGTGTTACATACTATAACATGTATCACACATTATCAAAATATATCATTAATCACTTTATATCAAAATATCTTCTTGTAATGTTACCTTAAAAAATAGTGATACAGCCGTGGTGGGACAGTCTATTTCTGAAGTTGTCAGCTGGGCTGCTGTATCAAAACTTTTAAAAGGTCACTTTGTATAATGTACAAAGTGTTTTCAAGTTACTTGTGTACTGCAAACTTATTACTTTGAACAAAGATTTTCTTTGAAAAAATTGATGAACGTGCGAACATGTCCATTTTTCTGCCTAGAATATATACTAGGCAAATAAAAAATGATAATGCCAAGCAACTTGACGTCTCCCACACCACGAGAGTACGTTTCAAACCCTGTGTACTGTAATTCACTGACGTTCAGGGTTGCCAAAATTTGCAGTTTGAGAAAAATGGACATGTTCGTGGAACTATAAGTTCACGGAGTAAGCACGTTCATAAAATTTTAAAAAGAAAATGGGTAAATTCTTTGTTCAAGGTAATATTATAGTTTGCGGTACAAAAGTAACTTGAAAAACTGCGAACAACTAGAAAGGCCAATATTTGCTTTGGAGCAAATACAGCGATGGGTTCACCACATTTTACGACATGGCAGGGAAAGAATGGGAAACACAAGGGAAAACAATGATTTACATTGATATAACTATAATATGAAGTAAAATACAACTAAAACAACAGTTGGATAGCTATTCCCTACTTTATTGGTTAGGATTTTTAATTGCATAATGCAAACTGTTGATTTTCAAAATAAAAAAAACGTCCATGCCCGGCATTCCACTGCTGGAGCAGGAAAGCTTGAAATACCTACCAAAACACTTGAATACAGACATACTGTCAGTATGGAAATGCTTCTGTGCAGGTGTTAATCAAGTTAAATCCCAACAGCCAATCAGCAAGAAGTATAGAGGAAAGCTGCATGCCTATTGGTTGATGCCCTGCATTCCATTGTGATGACTCATGTCCAAACGTGGTAAACAAGGCACCCTAACACAGTAATACATTTGCTATAACACAGCCAAAAAACTCAAATAAAACCATTCTAAAAGCCTGTATCACAAAAATTTAAAAAACGCCTAGGGGTATTTGCCCACTGTACCTCCATACCAAATTTCAGGACCTTGGGCCCTAAAATGAAGAAGCTGAATCCATTTAAAAAATGGCAGGAGGAGAAGGAGGAGGAGGAGAAGAAGAAGAAGAAACATCAGAAAAAGCAATATGGTTTACCCATATGGAACCCATAATTAAAAGTATACGTACTGCGAAAAAAATCGTGGATTACAGTTTGTTCAAAGCTACTAGTTATCCAGATACCCCATCTGTCTGATAGCCTTGTACTGGTCTGGGATCTCCATCAGTGCCTGTACCGCAAACGCCGTGTCAGGATTCTGAGCGGTCGCGCGAACCTGGTGAAAATCGACAAACTGGAAGTTGTCGAACTGCCTGCTGGGAAGGTTGTCGTCGAAGTCGCGCATGGCGTCCCACGGTCCGTCCCCCACGCCCACCAGGATGATTGACAGCGCGTACTTGGAGGCCTGGACGATGGCGTTACGGGTGGCGCGCTCGCTGGTGACCTGCCCGTCAGCAACAATCACCAGGATGTGGTACTAACAAGGACAGGAAAGTACTGTCAGCTGTGGTGTATGTGAAATTCAGCTGCTCATTATTTACAACGTACTTGTTTATATAGATCGATATCGCTTGAAGCGCTCAGAACAATCTGTGGCTTCCATGTTTATTTTTTAGCATTGTATTATAATTTGTATATTCATGATGTAGATGTACATGTAGATTCAACCATCCCTTTGTCTAGGCGTACACTCTTGTGTTTTATTAAAAGAAGAGAGCTTTTCATTATTTACAATTCATTATGGTACAGTTTATGCAGACAAATCATTCTGTCCATCACTATTGTAAGTTGTAACAATATGTATGTCTCTGTTATGTTTGAGACTGGGTTATTGTTAGCAGCTTTCCTGTACAGTGAACTTACCGCTTTAGTTTGCTTGACTATATCGATGGCCTGATATATGAGTGGGGCGAAGTTTGTGGGCCCGCTGAGCTTCACTCTGGGCGTGATCAGGTTATAACACTGTAACACGTCCGTGAAGCCGTCACAAAACCCCGTCTCCTTAAACGGGAACACTCGCTTGTCTGAGGTCGAGGCATCGCCAAATCCAAAGGCAGGGATGAGACCGTCATCGTCAAAGTGAGAAAGAGTCTCACCGAGAATGGCAATGACCTAGATGGAGAAGACAATATATGTACATATAGAATACAACACGGGGTATTCCGTATTGCCCGAGGTACCAGCCCGACTGCGTGTCAGATTGCCCGATAGCCGAAATATCTATGTCATACCCACCCAAAAAAACACGGCTTTCAATGCAAAATGAGCAAAAATTTGGTGTCCCTATTACTAAACCCAAAAATTGCAACCACACTGATTCCAACGTCTGAATTTTGCATTCGCATTTTCGAAAGCGGTGCAAGCAGTTAGGGCGAAATGCGCTCAAATCGTTCTATGGAACATTTGGAAGCCCTGGGCCGTACCACTAGTTATCACACGGGCCGGAACACCCATATCGAACGTAATCGCAGCCCAGGTCATACCTGGGCTGCATTAATGTTTGTTACGGGTGTTCTTTGGTCAAAAAAGATTGCTTTACAATTAACAAAGTTATTTCAATTCATGATACATGTAATCAGTGGTGGAATTTAAAAGATTTTAGAGTAAAAACTTAATAGAAGTGCCCCATCAAAAAGGGTCAAAGGAGTAGTCTATTATGGGTGGAAATTTTTCTGTAGTTTTCTTGTTCTGACTGTCTTGTCTTGTCCCAATTTTTGTGCATGTGTAATAAAACCACTTGTCTAATTATAAGAAGACCATGTTCCCCCTGGGTGGTCATCTTAGACAAGTTTACTACAGGGGCCAACATCGTCTACCAGATACCTTTGACCCAGTGTTCGTCACACTTCAAAGAAGCCACGTGACAAGCTTCACTGAGTCAGTCTACTGAGGAAAACCAGAGTGACTGGTTGAAAGCTCTAGGTGAGAGAATTTTTTGTGTTGGACCAAAAGTTTTAACTTTAAACAAGTTTGCTACTAGTACAGTCAAACCTGCCAAGGTGACCACCTCTTTAAGCAGGCCATCTGTCCATGGTGACCACTTTTTCTCGGTCCCAAAATTTTCCCTATTGACACATTTGCATTCAGCAACCTGTCCAAGGTGACCACCTGGCCAACGCAGCCGCGACCACCCTGAGTTGGGTCCACTAAAGGCCCAATACCTGTCCATTGTGACCACATCATTTTTGATATCATGTTGGATCATTGATGATGACTAATGAGAATTCATGGAGAAACTTAGCCAGTTTGCCTCGACTACTGGACAATTTTTTTGTTCAACGTAAAGTGTTCCATGTGCCACCCTCTCCAGCGCATTCACCACAGAACTGAAGATGTTTACAGCATTTGACATTAAAACATCTCTACATGGAAACCATTTATGCCTCAGTCATGTTGTGAAGTGACTCTTCAAGGAGACCACCTGTCCAAGGTGACCACCTTTCTTTGGTCCCCTGGGTGGCCGGCTTGTACAGGTTTGACTGTATACTGATAAACAACATTAGTTTGACAATGGTGGGGTTATGAATATGAGATGATGTACCTGTTGGTAAGGATTTAGGACATCAGGGTCGACGTGATGAAGGCTCCGCCCACCAAAGGTCACCTGACCTTGATAGACATTACTCTTTGTGTAGTCAATACCTGGTAGAGAGAGAAAAACAAGAGTCATTACAGATCATTCCTGGCAGTCATTAGAATTTAGGCCACACCAATTTAAATTCTTGGTTAATGGATTTTTCTAGAAAAATAATGGAGCAGGCGGGCGAAATAAAAATAAAAACAGGCCTAGGCAACCTATTATGGCCCAAAATGGTACGAAAGGAGCCATGAAGTCAACACACCAGGCTGGTTCAAAATTTAAACATTGAATTTTGAACTTTTAATGATACCACTGCATTGAAAGATGGAATAACTGTAACAACTAGGAAGAAAAGGACTGTTTTCAACTGTTCAGGGCAAAATATGAGCATTTTGCAGTTGATTCTGAATT